GTTTTCGACTGATTTCATAAAAATTTGAACCATAAACGCTTATAAAAAAAAAAAAAATGTGACTACCTAACGATTTTTATTTTTTTTCCGCTACAATAAGAACAACTCATAAGGAACTTTGTATTACATTTTCAAATTTTTTTGGTCATCCAAAATTTTTTTACCGACACTTCAAAAAAATATTCTCATAAAAATCGAAAATTTCAGTTGTCTATAAATAACTGAAAAAAGTCCAAAATATTCATCACTTCGTTCAGAATCTAAAATAAAATCTGTTCAAAACTCTGACACACATTATAGATTTATTGTAAAATTATAATTGATATACATCGACATAATATCTTATGCACTGCTATAGAATAAAGAGGATAATAATATGCATTTCAAAAGAATTGACTATGCCTAACCATAGGTATAGTTTTTATTTCTATACACAATTTAAATCTTATTATTTCAGTCATCTGCAGTCATCTTGGTYAGCGTTTGATTTCCAAGTGTGACATAAAATTGTCAAATTAACTTAGTTAGTAGTGCGAAACACGCGTACATTCAATTCGTTGGACGTAATTATTCAAAAATAATAAAATACTTCCTGATAGTTTCGTGTAATATTGTAATTTCCTACCCGTCGATCATAATAACAGGTGGTAGGTACAATTCATTAAGCTGTATTATACAGAGATTTCGTATATATTTTGTTTTTATATTGTTATTCTGTCCGATAGGTCACGTAATCAGAATTTTCTTTGTTCAAGTAGTCCGACCGGCCATTAAGTATTCTGCCGCGGTTATACTTTGACAATAACAAAATAAGTTAATAATCAAAATTTCTCATGTTTCAATAACCTGAGAAAAATAAAATATTTTAATCCCACGATATTCCACTTAGTATAATATCACATCATTATTATACAGTAGACAGGTAATAATAATAATAATAATAATCGGTGATCAGTAATTGCTACTACATTAATGATTAATATAATGGTGAAAAAAACCCGATAAAGTCATAGCTCAAACACTACCAATATTTCCTATTTAATAGAGGGCAAAATCAGTCTGAAAGCAATTTTCACTGTGAGACATAAAAATTCCAATTTAGGTCCTTCTTATCTGCAACGTACAGGACATGATGCCTGCAAAACCAATAAACGAATCGTGGACGTTTCGTCCCCGCCTTTTCGTCCGCGTCAAAAAAATCAGTCCCTGGACGTTTCGTCCCCGGCAATTTTTAAGATAGGACGTTTCGTCCCGAAGAGTTATTAGACATAGGACGTTTGGTCCTCGACATATTTTGATAAGTACTTTAATTTTAAATGAACAATTTAATTTTTAAATGACAATATTACAAAATTACAGATACATAATCAATATTCACACAATATAATTATACAAATAGTCAAAATTTAAATAAATCACAATTATATTAAGTCATATTAAATTTCGTAAATATTAATAGATTAATAAATTTTTAGGTCAGCTGGCTAATTTTTTTTTAA